AGTATATCATCATAAACACAGCCGTTTTTGTCTTACGTGAACATAAACAGATAAGAAAGAAAGCACACATGTACAGTATTTTTAGATCTGCGTGCGTTCAGTGTTAGAGACAGCAGCCTAATAAACGCGCTGCCTGTCATTAATGTTAATCAAAGAACAAAAAATCATTCACTGATGTTGACTGAATATATTTAATAACTTTCATTGATTAATCTATATTTCATTTATGAAAAGAAAACGATGCAGTGTTTTTAAACTTTTAATTAGTTTCTGTACCTGAAATTTTGTTCAGTTGTATTTATGATATTGCTAATTGATTTGTTTGTTCCTATCTTATTACTGACTGTTTACTTGTCTTTAACACTTTAATATTTGAAATTTATATTAATCTAGTTGTTTTTGCGGTGGTATTTTTTTTTTTAAAGCATAGGCAAAATTCCTCTTGCAGTGTTCTGTAGGCTGCTGATTTTTGCTCGTGTTATTCAGCAATACAAAAAGACAATAAATGTTTGAGATCTAAATGTTTGACTTAATTTTTTTTATATTGGATTTTTTATCTTATTGGAATCGAAACTAGGAATCAATAAGAATCGGAATCGATAAAATTCAAACGATACCCAACCCTAATGATAGAACATTGTGGTTTTTAATGTCCTAGACATCAGAGGAATGTACTAAATATATCAAGTGTGTTCACCTCACCTGTGCTTCAACCTCCATTGCAAGGTACTGAAACATGTCATGTAGCTCTTTAATGCTTTTCTCTAGCTTTATGATCTCATCATGCCGTGACTCGATCTCATTCAGAGCCTGTCTGGTAGCTTTAGCATCGTTCAAAATCTGCAAGAACAGCTTGATTTTTACACAGTGGTTCAAGATACTGAACAGGATGTTTCATGTGATCACATCATGTGACAAATAGGACACAGCGGTGAAATGCATCATGGTGGTGATGCTTTATTGCAGGCAAAGGGGTTTGGAAGGGTTTTATAAAAAAAAAAAAAAAAAAATGTTTTTTAAATGATAAAACATCATGGTTTTTAATTTACTAGCCATCTGAGGAATGAACTAACCAGTGTGTTCATCTCACCTGTGCTTCCACCTCCATTGCAAGGTACTGAAACATATCATGTAGCTCTTTAATACTTTTCTCTAGCTTGATTATCTCATCATGCCGTGACTCAATCTCGTTCAGAGCCTGTTTGGTAGCTTTAGCATCATTCAAAATCTGCAAGAACAAATTGATTTTTAAACAAGGGTTCAAGACACTGAACAGGATTTTTCATGTGATCACATCATGTGACATATAGGACACTATGGTGAAATGTTTCATGGTGGTGATGCTTCGTTTCAGGCAAAGGGGGTGTAAGGGTTCTGAATATATGAGCTGAAGGGCAAGAATGACAGTAATCAAAACTCTAAAAGGGAAGTGGAAATCTATAAAGGAGGTACTGAAAATATGAGGCATTTGCTTCTAGCATTGCTTTTATATGATGTTGACAACCCAGATTTACTTTATCTGGAATAAAAAAGGCATTAACACTCGAAGATACTTTATGTCCAAAGGTGCCCCCAGCATTCTTAGTTCCAAATGTAGGTCTTACTTTGACTATTATTTGGAGTTTCTACTGCTTCACAAGAAACTCAGAAAGTGAAGGACCAGGAAACAGGCAAATGCCCCTATTTATTATAAATGATTATATCACTAAATGCCCGGATAGGTTAATCAACGTCATCAAAAACAAGAAATAACAATTGCATTTTAGATGGAACGGTTCCTAAAAGGATCTCACCAAATGAAACTCATCCATTCCAAAGAAAGCAAAAGAGAAGACTTGAAATGTGACATTAAGAAATCAGAAGACTATAATAAACAATATCACTCTGTTGTGGACCGTTTTCTTCAGGTAATTGTAGAAGGAAAAGCAATGAATATCTATTAGGCAGAATGCTAGACTTACACTTACGCATTCAAATCAATGCATGCACACTACTCAAAACACCACACTCACATTTTGCGTGAAAACATCTGTTTGTCCACTCTCAAGCATTGATTCCAGCTCCTCATCTGTCACATTGTTACCAGCTGTAAAGGAAACCACATTCAAGCTAGTTTTATTTAGTTCTATTCCATTTTATTTTATTTTGACTTGTAGGAACAATGCAAGTGAAAGCTACGTTGCACTGGCTGATGCTGCAGTAGTCTTGGATCATACTAAAGGAAACTCTTAAATGAAGAAAAACATGACTCGTGCACAATTAAAAAGTCTATTGTGAAAGACCTGTATAAGAACCATAGTATTATCAATAGAAAAAAAAAACAAGACAGAAAAAGCACATACTGATTTTGAGTTGTCTGTGTATCCTCTCCACATTTCTGTCTCTGTATTGGGCTTGAATTGTATTACAGTGACCCATCACTTCCAGAAATTCACGGGACAAAACACCATGCTTTTAAAGGATATTGAGAAAAAAGGGAGGAACAGATTATTCTGAGCCAAAACAACACTGTTCATGCATGATATTTACAAACAAAATATTTGTAATATATGTATTAAAAAGCAACTCACCTGGATTCTACGCATTCTAACATTTATTGAAATATATTTCTCTTCACCTTCAGCTTTCTTAGGTTCAATGCCTGTGACATAAACATATCGTTTAATACTACACATCCAGTAGGTCCAGCAGAATAAGTTTGATAACAACCACCTGTTTTTATTTATCAGTCTCACTTTTTAACTTCTTTTGGATCTGGCTGGCCATGACTTTGATGTCTTCTCTGAGGGACTGCAGTTCCTTTTTCATACCTATTGCCAAGGAGATTTTTTTTTACATTTATTTATTTAAACATTTTTTTGGATGATAAAACCTAAACTGAAAAAAAAAAAAATAAATCTCCACAGAGAACCATTTTTTTATATTTCAGGGAAATGTGTTGAAATATAAAAATACCCAAACCTAAGCTGAGCTACTCACTTTCTTCTGGAAGTGCAACTCCTAACACTGTTTTCTGTTTGTTCTCCAGTTCAGACACCTTCCTTTTAATAGTTTCAAGTCTCTCTTGAATCTCCTGAACCTGCAGAAAAAATAGGGTGTAATTGTGACAATAATAAGTTTGACTCCGGAAACTTTGAAATCCCAAACCATACAGGCAACAATTTAATCAACAAAAACGTAATTCATGGTGAACAGTTGATATTACAAGGTCAAAAGTATCTATTTAACATGGAGTTTGGAGGTAGTGGCTTGGCAGTGTGTAGTTACACAACAACTCCACAGTTCCCTAATAATTTATGTGCATATTACCATTGAAAGCTGCAGTAATGCTTTCGAATAGTTAAAATGTGTTACAATGGCTTAAAATGAACCTTTTTAAAGGCAGCTTCATTTTCTTTCTCTTCATTTGCTGAGCTCCCAGATCCAGGCTTTATCATGAGACCTGTGCTTTCTTCGTCTTCATCTGAGGCATCAGCAATCTAGTGAAAAGAGAAACGTATAAGACCACAGGGGGGGCAGGCTAAATAAAGTTACACCCCACCTAAGTTACACTGCAAAACTAGAGGGTTGGTAGTGCAGAAGGGTGTTAGCTTCCAGTTTGTGGTATTTGACTTTTTTTTTTTTCTCAACAATCTGCATAAAGACACATAAATAGTCAGTCACAGTGACCCGTGAGAATATGTGAGTGTTAATAAATCGCAATTGCAGCAGTGGGCAGTTTCCGTGGGTTAGCCTGTTAGCACGTTAGCCGGTTTCCTGAGTGCACTGCCCTAAGTTACTTTGTACTCACATTGCCCAGCTCTTTGGTCCGGTCCCGCATTCTCGATGTATCTTATATCCAACTCGGGTGAAAAGTTCCTGTCTTAAGAGACGTAGCACATCTGTCTGCAAACTCAAAACTTAAAAGAGGGAGTTTCCATTCTAAGTCACATTTCAAGCCAGCCAGCTTCCACAAATAACTTTCAGAGGAGATTGCTGATGGGCGCTGTGAGGTGCCTGAATGAGAATATATAAATAATACGGATCAACTTCAGTTATGCTGAGAGATCAAAATGGGGCGATGTCGTTATATACGAATTTGTCCCTTTCTTCTTCTGTTTTAGTTTGCGGAAGTATGAAAAACGACCCAGGCTTTTACTGCCCCCCGCTGGAAAGATATACATGTTTACATTAAAGGGGTCATATGATGCGATTTCAAGTTTTCCTTTCTCTTTGGAGTGTTACAAGCTGATTGTGCATAGATAATCACTATGGCGAAATATAGTATTCCACACGGATCTCAAATGCAAAGAATAATGAAGGTTGGTGAATGTAACTTTATGAAAAGTGACTGTATAATATAAACTTATATAAGACCAATAGCTTTTTTCATGTAAACAAAGTGTCATGAGTCTGGGCCCTGCGTTTCTCCCTCTCTCCTCCAGAGGGCACTGACACGCAGCATGCAGGAATCCCCGCTGATGTCGGTGCGAGCGGCGTACTCAGCTCGCAAGGCTCTCGAGGCGGCGGTGCCCGCTCACAGTTCCCCGGAGGCGGCGGTGTCCGCTCACAAGGCTTCAGAAGCGGTGGTGTCCACTCACAGTTCCCCCGAGGCGGCGGTGTCCGCTCACAGGGCTTCAGAGGCGGCGGCGCCCGAGGGCGCCATCTCCCGGACTCCCATTCCCCAAACCCCATACACCTGTTCACTCATTACACTAATTCCCCAAACTCCACACACCTGTTCAGTCACTCACTCATCACACTCACCCTCAGCTGTGCCCCGTTGTCACTGACCATATCTTCACCTCTCACTCACCACTCGGCCTGCTTGTATTGTGTAATGAAATGGTGTTCGTCGTCTCTAGACCTGTTTTTGTTGTGCCTTGTTGGCCTTTCTGTTTAAATAAAGAAGTTTTCACCTGTATTTGGACCCAGACCCTGTTTACACGGTGTGTTTTCAGTACCGAGCCGTCACACAAAGGAAATGAAAAGAAAATATCTAACAAAATTATTTGCTTAAACAGTCTTGGAAAACAGACAATTATATTTAGCAATTAAAAAGAGAAAAAATATGTAAGAAATTCATACATTGTATGTCTAATTGTAGATTCATAATTAGTAAAACAGATAAATTATCCATTTGTGGATAACAGTTCAAATCTAAAGTTCATTAATTTATGACTGCAAGAACATTTCAAATCTTAAATTAATGCAAAGTTTCCCTTTTTCAAAGAACAGAAAATACAGATGAATGAAGCTCATTCACAGGCCAGTTTGCCGTCAAAGGAAGACAGAGTGATGGCAAATGCCTGTAGAGCACACATGGGAAAGCTGTAGTCCATGGAAAACACATCTTCTGCTACCCGCCCAAACTGCATCACAATGTAGTCCACTGGAGAGAGATATTCATTGACATTATTAGAATTAGAATTAGGAATTGTAATATTTCTTATATATTATATGATATTGCATCTACAAACACAAAGACAGAGATACAAAATGAGAAAAAGAAGGATAACCTCATTCACCATTATCTGGATGGACAATTTGAAAGTTTTTCACAGATGCCTGAGTAACTCGGCCATGGAAATTGAGCACATACGACTGCGTTTGCTCATTCCAGCTGGGTGATTTATTTACAAGGGTGACAAGATTCTCTTTGTTACCATTCTCATATCGGGTGAGCAGAGACTCCAGCTCCTGGGACATGCAAAAAAAATAATAATTTTCATTATATATATATATATATATATATATATATATATAAAACAGCTGATTTAATCACTGAACCAAACACATAATTTGATAGAAACAGAAATAATGTATATTACATTCTTTATCTGAGTGAAGTGTGACAAATATTTCCAAGACATAAATTACTATACAACAAACAAACAAAAATACGGTTATTTAAGATTGTAATAAAATTTCACAATATTACCATTTTCACTGTATTTTTGATCAAATAAATGCAGCCTTGGTGAGCATAAGAGATTTCTTTCAAAAACATAAAAAATCTTTCAGACCCCAAACTTTTGAATGGTAGTGTATATCCAAAAGAAGAAACGTGATATTGTAATTGATGAAAAAAAAGTGATTAACACGAATCCACAACATAATACTCACACTTTTTGGCCGAATAACAACTCTCTCATCATTCTCATGCATACCAGGAATAATTACTGTCATTTTTCTAGGTCCTTTGAAACCCAAAACATTTTTCTCCTGTGTAACAGTAAAGAAAAGAGTATGTTTTCTTCTTTTTTTCCAATCAGAACAGAATAAATGTAAAAAATATATACTATCTAAAGAAAAATCAGCACACAGCATCCTACATAACATATTGCTGCTAGCTCTTGTCGCAGTGTATCCGTTTCTTTAATGAATGGATTCCTTTCTGGATTCTCGCCATTATCATACACAGTGAATTTAGTCCCCAAGACATTTGATCTGAGGAGACAAATTCTATATTTTAGCACGGGCAGAATTACAAACAATATTTGTGATACACACTTTAATGGTACTGACCTTAGTTTGCCTATGTAGCTGTCAGTATCTCTGGATAAATCGGTAGGATCGATTGATATCAAATAATTCGAAGTTTTGCACTTCTTTCTTTTTCTTCCAGCCATCAGAAAGACCTGCCCATCCGAAACATTGGAGAAGAGAACAATGATATGTTAAGCAATGAAAAAAGACATTATTTCTCATATTTTACTTTATTCACACTTCGGCTAACCCTTTTCCCATCCTCCTTTTCCATGTGGAGGTAATATGTGGGAAAGATGCCTTTCTCCACTCCCCTCCTGTCTCTGGTGATCCTGCACTGAATAGTCACATCTCTTGGAGCAGGACGCATGGCAAACTGTTCCAGATCCTCCAAAGACATCGGAGAGGACTGCATGAGAAAGATAAAACACAGGGTTATTGTATTAATGAAACCAAAAACCATTAAAAGTGTCATTTTCATTACTTGAAATAAAATAAATATCAACTTACAATAAAATAAAATAATAAAATAAAATCCGAAAAAGCTAAGATTGTAGTTTAAGTACTAAAATAACTAAATCTAAATAAACTAAGAATAAAAAAAGCTGTATGGACATGGTAAACAAAAACTCAAAAAAAGGGCAAAAACCTAAGCTTTCTAAAGGCCCGTTCACACCAATCACGATAACTATAAAGATAACGATAAAGATATAGTTCATCTTTCAGACCCCAAACTTTTGAATGGTAGTGTATATCCAAAAGAAGAAACGTGATATTGTAATTGATGAAAAAAAAGTGATTAACACGAATCCACAACATAATACTCACACTTTTTGGCCGAATAACAACTCTCTCATCATTCTCATGCATACCAGGAATAATTACTGTCATTTTTCTAGGTCCTTTGAAACCCAAAACATTTTTCTCCTGTGTAACAGTAAAGAAAAGAGTATGTTTTCTTCTTTTTTTCCAATCAGAACAGAATAAATGTAAAAAATATATACTATCTAAAGAAAAATCAGCACACAGCATCCTACATAACATATTGCTGCTAGCTCTTGTCGCAGTGTATCCGTTTCTTTAATGAATGGATTCCTTTCTGGATTCTCGCCATTATCATACACAGTGAATTTAGTCCCCAAGACATTTGATCTGAGGAGACAAATTCTATATTTTAGCACGGGCAGAATTACAAACAATATTTGTGATACACACTTTAATGGTACTGACCTTAGTTTGCCTATGTAGCTGTCAGTATCTCTGGATAAATCGGTAGGATCGATTGATATCAAATAATTCGAAGTTTTGCACTTCTTTCTTTTTCTTCCAGCCATCAGAAAGACCTGCCCATCCGAAACATTGGAGAAGAGAACAATGATATGTTAAGCAATGAAAAAAGACATTATTTCTCATATTTTACTTTATTCACACTTCGGCTAACCCTTTTCCCATCCTCCTTTTCCATGTGGAGGTAATATGTGGGAAAGATGCCTTTCTCCACTCCCCTCCTGTCTCTGGTGATCCTGCACTGAATAGTCACATCTCTTGGAGCAGGACGCATGGCAAACTGTTCCAGATCCTCCAAAGACATCGGAGAGGACTGCATGAGAAAGATAAAACACAGGGTTATTGTATTAATGAAACCAAAAACCATTAAAAGTGTCATTTTCATTACTTGAAATAAAATAAATATCAACTTACAATAAAATAAAATAATAAAATAAAATCCGAAAAAGCTAAGATTGTAGTTTAAGTACTAAAATAACTAAATCTAAATAAACTAAGAATAAAAAAAGCTGTATGGACATGGTAAACAAAAACTCAAAAAAAGGGCAAAAACCTAAGCTTTCTAAAGGCCCGTTCACACCAATCACGATAACTATAAAGATAACGATAAAGATATAGTTCTAAAAATCGTTCTCAATATTAAAGAATAGCACATAGTCCACACCACAGCTATAACGATAAAGGCACAAAGAAACGATATCTTTGGAATCATTTTCGGAACGATTTTTTCTGGCTGATGAACGATAAAAACATTGACAGCCAATCAGAATCCATCCTGCTATAAGGAGCTCGAGAATTTAAAGCGGCAGACGAGAGTGCACTAAGAATAAACAGACGATATCGTTCGCTGGTGTGGACGCAAATATCGTGATCTTTATAGTTATCGTTCTTGGTGTGAACGGGGCTTAAAGCTTTCAAATTAAAATGGAAAGGTAAAACATAAAATCTATTTAAAAATATTAACAAAAAGTATAATAGTATATCAATGATACTAAAATTATATACACAAAATTACACACACACACACACGTACAACACTAAATGAATGAATTTAGACTATGTCTTACTTTTCCCATGTCCAAAGAATCACTGTCGGAGGTAGGCTCTTTATAGTTGGAGTTTAAAGAAGCAATATTGTCATTATTTTTTGCTCCTTTTTTAGACTTTTTTGGTGTTTTTTTAGCTTCCCTCTTCTTGTCCTCCTCCTCTTTGTCCTCTTTTTCTTCCTCACTGTCACTGAGATGACATCTCACTACAAAGACAGAAAACTAATAATAACAATCAGGCCACATCAAACAAAACCATCATTAAACAAAAAAGGTTCATATGGAGACATATATCATTTTTATATCAGGAGATTTGTATACTTGGTTTTAGTTGTTGTTTTTTCTTTGGTGTTGGAGGGATGGGGCTCTTTGTCCAGTCTTTTCTTTCATCCTCACTCTCTGATTCAGGTTTTTTCTCTTCATTAATGTTGATTTCCACAACTGAATCAGTCTGAGATGCTGGAAAATGCCACGAGTTGGAATGTTAACAATGCCAATGTCAGGTTATTTCCTATTTATGGATGAGGCACTGGGCTGTGCTACAGGAAATGGCCTTTAACTTGTATCATGTTTAACAATGGAGACACATCTCCGGTGCACTTACAAGACTGTTCTTCTGTCCTCACTTTTTCCTTCGATTCCTTTGTCTTATCCTTCTTCTTCACTGGTTTTTGCTCTTTCTCTTCATTTTCCTCCCCTTCTAATGCAGGTTTGGCCTCAAGTACTAGAATGCGTTCAGTTCAACAAAATGTAAAGGCACATCACACTAAGGCAGATACAAAAGTTACAACTGAAAATGGAAAAAACACTTTTTCACACCTTTCTTATTAGTTTTTTTTCCATCTGATTGGCCTTCTTTGTCTAAAGTGCATTTAGCGCTGTGCTGCGGGCTGATCTCTAGATTGATTTTCTTAGTGATGACCGGAACAGAATCAGCTACCTCTTCCGAAGCCTCTTCTGTCTTGGATGAAATGGTCAGTTCTCCTAAACAAATCTCTTCCACCGTGTTTTCATAAATCTGCTCAGGTTGCATGTCTGATAATAAACAGGTAGGTTGTTATTTTCTGTAAAACTCAAAAAAAAAAACAAGATGACTAATCTAATGACTAATAAACAACAATTACATGTTAACATTGAGGCTCTGGTTTCTATAGAGTAAATGTTTACGAACCACTGAGGGCAATGTTGCTCTGAGACTGGCTTATCAATAAAGCTGTATCGTCAGACTCAGCTTTCTGTTTGCGTGTCTTGGGACGGATGTCATGATTAGCTGTGATCATCTGGGCATCTGCCCTTCTTCTTTGTTGTTTCTTGATTAAAAGCGAACGCTATGAGAGTTGACATGTTATAAAGTAATGTTAAACATCAGATATATATATATATATATATATATATATATGTATGTATAGATGATGCTTTTAAGCATGACAATAATGTCAAAGGTTAAATAATATATATTTTTAAAAACTACATATTATTGATAAAATATGTAACACAAAATTATAAGTAAATGACTAATCAAAAGACACTAATTTCTGAGATCCTAACCTGATTGTCCAGCTTCTGTTGTCGGACCTCTGCGTCCTCCATTTCTTTTGTTGGGAAACAACAAATATCACAATTTTGATAGTATTCAAATAATCCACTATGTTATTATTGTCATAAACTCACCAGTCAGAATTACACGCTCAAATCAGCGATCAAATGAAGCCGAAGACTCATTGTCCCTGTCTGTCTCTGCAGCTCCATATGACATCCCCACCTGCACGCAACCGAAGCTTAAGAAGATTACAGAGGATAAAGTTCTTACACTCAACACTCCACTGAGACACCACGTAGTATATCCTTCATCATTACTGACATCAGACACTATATTTCACAACTGAAAACAGCACCAGTGTCACAATATTAAGATATTGGTAGTATAATACCAGAACTATTATACATTTCTGAACCTTGCAGTCAAAGTAAGCATTTTATGCAAGTCTTTTATCCAAGACTAAACATTGTTTATACAGGCACTGGTCGATTTTGCGATTTTGCTTCCTTAACTTGTCTTCTTTCAGACTTGTGGAAAGAAAACATCCTAAATACACAGTTAATTAACATTTTATTACACTTTATCTATTTGTGCCTGTAGATTTCAATTACAATACATATCTTTAAAAGCTGTTTTAAATTAGTTTTTTCTCATGCACTGAGCCAGAAATCTCCACGTAAGTAGCAGTTTCGCCAAACTTTCCAGTTTTATTCTTTATCTATATTCTTAAGGTTTTATATACTGTGGGTGTTTGTTAGGCTACTGTATCATTTGCCAGATTTACAAAACATTTTGCATGGTAAACATGGTAATTTGTTTCGGTTAAATTGTGTCTTTTCTGATCTATGGAGTAATAAAAAGAGATATCCAAAATTCCCTCTGTAAAACTCTAATATGGCAATTAAATGAAACAAGGATTTTGAACCTTTATTCAGTGTTCAGAGGGCCAGTTGCAAAATACTTAAACTAGTCTTACAAGTATTCTCATTTTTTTTCTTCTTCTTTAAGACAGGTTATAACTTTGTTTAAGTTGGTTACATAGAAAGTTGAATCCAAAGAATATGACTGATTACCCCTTGGCTAACTGCTAGTTGGGTAGACTAGTTCTTAACAGAGGATAGTTTATGCAACTGGCCCCAGATTTCAGGAAAGAATTGCAAAATAGTGCATATTTAATTACTGTAGCTAATGTCTCATTTGCATGTTTAAACATAACATTTCAGAAAAATTGTAGTACAAAACAACTGCCTTAATATCCTTTGATTAACATTGGAAAGGATATCTATTAGTTAAAATGTTTACCATTCACCTGTAGAAGTATCTTGTTTTAATTGTAGGCTACTCTACAGAGAATACATTTTCGTTACCGGAAAAAGATAAGCCGTAGCCTATAAAGCTGTGTCTCAAAGTGACCCTTTTCTTGCTTGTTTTAGCAACATAAGCATAACTCATAAACAGACTAACTACCCGTACCCTAGATGGCAGTATCTCACCTCAGCTTGTTTATATATTCACAGCTGAAGAAAAACGAAGTTGATCACGTTACTCGTTCATAATGTTTTGACGTGTTTTTTTTTTAATCGTTCTAATCGGTTTTATCTGTATGTGTAATACAAGCTAAGTGACATTTAAGAAAAATCACAATTCATTACAGACTGATGGGATGAAGGTACGAATTTTACTATATATTTTGACGTTCGTGTGAGCTCATTAACTTGCGATACCTGAAATACAACCTGGAAATAGAGCACTATTACAGTAAGTATCATACCAATAAACCTATCTTCTAGCTATTCTCTTGAGTAAGAAGTGCTGTGACAGATAACAGACAACAAGTTGTCGAATTAAAACCCACTACACTTATGCCAAAGTATTCCTCTACACAGGTTTGCTATAAGTAACTTGTTCCGCTTCAATGCATTTACCCAGCAATCACGGGTAAATCATATTATTGACCACAGAACTGACAAATAATCATCATGATTAATGGCTGTTTAGAGGAAGAGGAGGGGCAGATGATGCATCACAAGGGTTAAAAGAGCAAGTCAGGAGATGTTTGTCCCCTGGATACTCAAATCAACAATTAGTGATGTTTTGGAGGGTAGACAGTACCAGGTCTGAGGAATCTGTTGATTTCTCCCTTTATGGATTTGTGAAAATATTTCCTTTCCTCAAGTTATGGAAAAACAAAGACATGTAATCATGTAAGTTAAAAAAAAAAAAAAACTAGCAAAACATACATGATAAGGGATGTTTTGTTGTTGTGGTTGATGACTCATGTTGCAGTGGCTGGTTTTCCACAGATGTCCATTGTGCCATGTTACCTCTGGTAGGATGATCAAAAGTCAAGAGCAGGATGTAAGATCTCTTTCTTATTCTTTCCAGTGTGTTTGTGTGATGTGCAGTGGCAGATCTGATTATTGCACTAAAGCAATGAGATCTTATGGGTTTAAGTCATACAGACATTAAGACATGCAGATTACAAAACAGCTGATTTGACACAAGAGGTTATGCTGTTGATAGCAATGGACCACAGGATTGTTTTTTTAAAGGTATAAAATGCCATAAATGTTTGATATTTGTATATTTTGGTCTTGAAGATGTTTCTCTAACTTTTTTCCAAAGGAATTCATTGCTGTGAGAGTTCAGGATCCTCGTGTTCAAAATGAAGGGTCGTGGATCTCATATCTGGACTTCAAAATTTTCCTTCATGTGAGTATTTTTGCCTCAAGGACTTCTAATATTACAAGATCCCAATCTAATAATGTGACTCTTTCCAAGTTCCAAAGACTTTTTAATACTTCTCTAGATAAGAAAACAGATTTAAATGTTAAGATTAATTTATAAGCCATTAAATTTATAAGCCCCCCCCAATATTTAAATTTGCAACTGTCTGTCATCCTGTATTGGTTACAGTATTGGTGTTGATTAAATCACAGCCATGTCCTCATATCATTATTGCTTTATGGGGGTTTCCTTGCTACATGAATATATATATATATATATATATCTTATAGTTCTTTATAGCTATATATCTTTAGTTCAGTGCTTCATTTATATGAATATCTAGAGGGCAGGGTGGGCTGTGTCGGATATATTGTACATAATACACCATCTTATATCACCATCTTAATAGCCAAATACTGGCCGATATATTAGTCTTTCGCTAATATATATGTTTTTATTCCACTGTTGTTCAATGCATGTTTTTGTCTGCCCTGGTGTTATCTGATCTGAATTTGGTCACTTACTTGGTTTCTGTCACCAGACAAACAGCAAAGCATTCACTGCCAAAACATCCTGTGTGAGGCGGTGATACAGCGAGTTTGTGTGGTTGAAGAAAAAACTGCAAAAGAATGCTGGTCTGGTGTAAGTTCCTTTGCACAAACAAATGACTGTATAGCTGCATGTATGTCTCAGCCAATGTGCTTAAAAAAAAAATAAAATAAAAAATATATATATATATATTTACATTTACTGTAAATGCAGTGCTGCTTGAACGTTTGTGAACCCTTCAGAATTTCAAAAGATCATCAGATTTAAACACAAATCCTGAAAGTTGACAAAGAGAATCCAATCAAACAAATTAGACAAAAATATATACTTTGTCATTTATTTATTCTGGAAAATGATCCAATATTACATATCTGTGAGTGGCAAAAGTATGTGAATCTCTAGGATTAGCAGTTAATTTGAAGGCAAAATTAGGTGTTTTCAATCAGTGGGATGACTATCAGGTGTCAGTGTGTGTCCTGTTTTATTTAAAGAACAGGAATCTATCAAAGTCTGATCATGTTTGTGGAAGTGAATCATGACATGAACAAAAGAGGTCTCTGAGGACCTCAGAAAAAGAGTTGTTGTTGCTCATCAGGATGGAAAAGGTTACAAAACCATCTCTAAAGTGTTTGGACTCCACAAATCCACAGTCAGACAAATTGCATTCCAGCATAAGATCCTTCCCATCTGTGAAACATGGTGGTGGTAGTATCATGGGCCTGTTTTGCTGCATCTGGGCCAGGACGGCATGCCATCATTGATGGAACAATGAATTCTGAATTATACCAGCAAATTCTAAAGGAAAATGTCAGGGCATCTGTCCAAGAACTGAATCTCGAGAGACAATGGTCATGCAGCAAGACAACGACCCCAAGCACACAAGTCGTTTACTGCAAGCAATAGTATCAATTTGCCATCCAGTAGGGACTTTTTCTGCATTGTTTTTTCTTTTTTTGTATCTTTAGAGTTAAATACATCGTTGTATTTCTCACAGGCCTGTTCCTGATCTGCCCAAAAAGTCTTTCTTCTCATTTATTAATGATGAATTCATTGAAAGGAGGAGAAAAGGTCTTCAGAGCTTCTTGGATAAGTCAGTTCTAGTGTTTAATTTAAAATGTTTTTGTCAATGTCTGGTGCTTGCTTCTTACAAAGCATTTTAAAAACGGGAGAATTTAAAAATAGCATATAAAATAGTACAGAAATATTCATTTTAACACCAAATTCTCCTGAAATTAATTGCTTTCGTCTTCCTATACAGAGTGCTGCACATATGACGGTATGCCTGTCAGATAGCCAGCTCCATCTTTTCCTGCAGACTCAGCTTCCTGTCAAGCACATTGAGGACTGTGTGCAGGGTCACACCCCTTACACTGTGACAGAAGCCATTCTGACTTACGCTTCCTCTAACCGTGGCTGGGTGCAGGAGGAAGGGGGCGGGGCCCAAGAATTATGGCCTACCCCTGTTCCATATGAATCCGCAGAGAGGTAAAAACCGGTCGCAACGACATAAAGCACATGATGAGGTAACATTAAGATTACCTTCTCCTAATGATATACATCTCTTTACAGCCCTGCTCCTCACCTCCCTTCATTACAAAATCCAGGAGCCACATCTAGCGGACCTTTAAATGAACTTACAGATGTTTCAGACTCCGAGTCGAGACCGAGTGATGCAGAACAGACTGCACTTGACCTGAAGCAGGAAATTGGCCATGGGCAGCTGCCTCAAGAGGGAGAGAGTTACATTACATTAGTAGTTGAAGTCCACCCGAACCTTGTTGTTTCTGTTGAAACCGAGGAAGAGGATGGACACATTGGATCAAAAGAAATGCAAAGGCTTGATAAGGATGCCAAAGATCTACAAAATTATGATTGTGACTATCTTGCTCCACAGATAGATGGACTCATTGAAGACAAGATTCAGCAAGGAGATGCATGCAATGAAGAAGATCTTGAACAAGAAACGACTGTTGTCGAAGATGCAGTAGATGTTACCTCAGTAGACAGAGTCATCGAGAAAAAGATTCCTCATGATTTCCATGAAGTGAAGAAGGGAAGTCAAGATGTTGGACTTGAACAGGACAGCGATGTGAGACGAGCCCCTGACAAGGTCTTTCATGAAGAAGATCCAGAAGTAAGGATCCATAATAATGAAGTTACTATGGATCTCAGTTCTGTCGAGGAAGACAATGCTGAGAAGGCACTTGAAACCGCAGCTACAACTGTAGAAGATGTTGCACTCCATGATGCTTTTGAGGAGAACACGCCAGATATTGAAGGTCAAGATAAAGCTGGTATAACAGAGGAACATGCAACCCAGGAGAATGGAGTCAGTGATGAAGATGCTGCTGTTCAGGAAGAGAATGAGGTGCATGTCGGGGAAGTGAACAAGCTCAATGCAAAATGTTTTCAGCCTAGCAGTGCCATTTTGATACTTGAGGGAATTGAGGAAGCAGTGAGCACGCAAATGGCCCCCGTGACAGAGACTGTCAGTAACCTCGATGCAAATACTGCTGATGTCAACACGCTTGTTTTACACGCCATAGAGATTGATTCAATGCAATGTCACGAGACGGACAGTCATATAATCATCACTACCCACCAACCAGATACTAACTAATTCCCATGGAGAATTAGTACAGTCATAGATTGGACACAGTGTTCAAAGAGTCCTCCCTTTGGCTCTTTCCCAGTTATCATCCAAGACGTTTTTCTACTGTGATCTCAAAATGAGTGAGTGCATGTAACTATAAAGGGAGGAACACGTCTTTTTTTTTTTTGCGTTGATCCACTGTTGATGTGTTCAGACTGTTTACAGAAGATACACTGAATTTTTCCCCATAAACAATGTGAACAAACAGAGATGATGCACTGACTAATGTGCCATTCAGGATTGTGAGCAAATTCGACATGCAACGAATAGTTATGAATCCATGGTAGTGGGCGAGAAAAAGCAGTGCACATCGCTATGGCACCTTGATTCTAAAAGTCACCATTCTTAATAAAAATATTTCTGTGTTTGTATGATTTTAGCAACAGCAATTACCCCATGACATGTTGCTGATCTATTTTAGCATTTTCAAACCCAATTTTAACTGACATGTCACTTTCTAAGGCACTTCTCTTTTTTTTCATCCAACTGTAAAAACATGTTGCTCACAGATGTTTGCTCTACTGGAACTTTGGGTAATTTAAGGGATAGTTCACTCCAAATTGAAAATTGTCCATATTTATTCACCCTCATGTTCTTCTAAACCTAAATGACTTTTGGAAAAATTTTCCAATATTTGGAAAAATGTCTGTTTTTCTGTCCAATGTTGTTGTGGACCCAGTTGAATTTCATTGTACAGTTGAAACATTCTTCAAAGTATCATCTTTTGTGTTTAAATGATTTTCATGAGGGAAGTGGAAAATCATGAGGGTGAGTAAATGATGACAGAATTTTCATTTTGGGGTGAACGATACTTTTATTATAATTAAAATGCATTGGTATATTTAGTGTAGGTGGCTAATGGCTGTTAAGATTTTTTTTTTTTATATATATATATATAATTTCAGGGTCTTTGGTTTTTAATTTCCTTGTAGCTTACTTTATGGTCAAAACACTAATTTCCATACAGAAACTTTATGAGCTAAGGAAAGAATTTCTAAATTTGTAAGAAATTACAGTGCACATTGTTTACAATGATGATATATTTTATTTTCCCCATCCTAACTTAATGTTGCACCAGGTCAAGTAGGCTGCTCGTTGATTGTTCTTCTATATTCTGCTGTGATGTTGTGTTTAGTGGCTGCTTATAATTCTAATATGGGAACAGAAATGTACTCAAAAGGGAATTGCTTGTTGATTAATAGGAAAGGATACTTATTTATTTTCTTAGATAAGGTGATCTCTTATCACAGACAGGTGTTTTTTTCCCCGAATCAGCACAGCAAGACAATTATGAATGCACAGTAGCATTACAAATTCAGAGCATCCTAAATTATTTGTTTTTCAAGGATTTAAGTTAACATTTTTAACAGTATGAGGTTCTGTATCTTATTTTAAGTTGGGAATAGTATAAGGACGTCTCAGTTGGCTCCACTCGTAATGTGACATTTTCATGTTCATTTGAAAGAGCCACATCTGTCGGCCTAGACTTCATTCTGCATGAGTGCCAGAGCAGGTGTTCATCACTGTATGTATGTTTGGATTCACCAATGTGCTTACTAACAGCAAACGAATAAAGAATGAGGTTGAAATGAAACTCAGTGTCTACTGATTCACCTGAGGGAACACGTTGGAAACCATGAGTGAATTCACAATACCAAACATTAACAGTATTTTAACTGACCAAATAAGTTTAAAAATGCCATTGGACAGTTCATACATGGGAGCAGCCAATGGGAATTTGGACTAAATCTAAAACTGCATTTTTAAATTCGTTATTAATGTAATATTTATGTTCAAATGTATGTGAAAGCATAAATTGGATATAGAAATGTTTGTCATTTTATTTCAGAAACAATTTTAGATTCATGTCAGAAATCCTGGTAATATAATATTTTTTTTTAATCATTCATGTGATAAGTTGATATATTTAGTAATTAACAAAACAATACTGTCAGTTTCTTAATTATTAATCAATCCAATAATAAGTTATGCAGTTACAGTTATGGCAAAAGTATTACCACAAGATGGCGACATGGTATCAAACTAGGGAAAGTGAAAGTCATTCCCCATTTTGTCATTTATATAAAACACAAGATAAATTAAAATATTTCCATCTATTTTTATTTGTATCTCATACAATCATATATTTTAATTGTCTAAAATATATACTCCCTAAATATAAAGGCACCTATAAAATTATAAAGACAACATTTTTTTTCCCCCAAAATTAAATAATTATTATAAATAATTTTTATTTCCATTGTACTAAAGACAACTTGGTATTTGGTTACAATGTATTTTTATACCCACTTTTACAGTAATGTGAGATGCACAAACCTTTAAAACAGAATAAAACCGACTTTTAAGATAATTTAATTTCATATTGTTAAAATATAGAGCTGTCAAAAGAATGAAACAGTTATTAATCTCATGATTTCTTTAGAAATATAAAGATCAGTAATTGTGATTACCCCTATCTAATTTGTTTTCTTCAAGACTGGTTATAATTTTTTTAAGTCGGTTACAAAACGTTAGATTGGCTCAATTTGAGTCAGAAAAGTAAGGCTGACTACCTCTTGGCTAACTGCTAGTTGGTTAAACTATTTCTTAAAGGTCCCATGGCATGAAAATTTCACTTTATGAGGTTTTTTAACATTAATATGAGTTCCCCTAGCCTGCCTATGGTCCCCCAGTGGCTAGAAATGGCGATAGGTGTAAACCGAGCCCTGGGTATCCTGCTTTGCCTTTGAGAAAATGAAAGCTCAGATGGCCCAATCTGGAATCTTCCCTTTATGTCGTCATATGGGGAAAGGTTACCTCCCCTTTCTCTGCTTTGCCCGCCCAGAGAATTTGGCCCGCCCATGAGAAAATGAGCTACTACCGTGCAAGGCCAGCGCAATATTTTTTTTTCCTCAAGAGACATCATGGCTTGCAAACGAGGAAGCACCTTGCCCCGCCTCTCTCCTCCTCATTAGCATTTAAAGCTACAGACACAGAAATGGCACGTCCTAAGGAAAGCTCATTGCGGGACTGGCACGTAGTGGTTGAAATTCTGCACCAAGGCTGAATTTCGGGAAAGAGACTTCAGATACAGTACTAGGGACCACTTAGGCCTATATAAAAGCATCCAAAAAGCAGCATGTCATGGGACCTTTAAGACACAGTCTTAACATAGCAGCTATGTTTATGCAACTGGCCTGGTCTAGCTCATAATGAAAAAGCAGAATTGAAATGTACTGCAACATCTTGGAATCTAGTTTCCTGTTACACAGCTGTAGCATTTCACATCAACAACATATCTTCTTAGTAATCTAGTGTGGTTTTCTGGGACACTGAGTTCAATATTTGAACTATGCTCTTCCCAGTGTAGGAAAAAAACAGTGCTTTCAATATGTTGATGTGATCTAACCCGTTGACAAACAGTGCTGAGTTCAAGGCTGAGCCCGACTGACCTCATTTTAAACTGTGACATCGGCAGGCGGGGTTGTGTGGCTGGCAGCAGGGGACTGCAGCCGGAATCACGGTGTAGTCGGCCAATGATATCTTATCTGTGGCGATGTCCCATAGCAGAGCCTCCCTCTCTCTCTCCACTTCCTTCAAGACAGATCTGTACTCATCACTCTCAGGGTTCAGAGGGGTCTCCTCTGCCTCGTCCTGTGAGAGGTCACATATCAGAGGGGGGTCGTGATACTGCTGTTGTCCACTTCCTCCACCGCATGTCACTGATCCACCTGAGAGAGCACATCAGAACCATTAAATCAACCAATACCAGCGTAGTAACAGTCATTTAAAAAAATGCCATTGGACAGTTCATACATGGGAGCACTCATAGATATGTATAGGTAGATTCCACATTCCATGTTACACTACATTTTTAAACAAGAAATAATTAGTTTAAAATATGTCTATTTATTTGTCAATTTTAAGAAAATTATATTTCTTCATTTATTTCACAGATAAATTTTTAAACATGATTGAATTTTTTTTTTAAAAGTTTAAAATGTCTATTTATTTATCAATTTAAAAATGTGATTTATTAATTTATAATTTACTGTTACATTTAACTATATTTTTAAACGTGAATTAAATAAATACTTTAAAATGTTTATCAATTTAAAAATGTGACTTTTTTGATTTATGTCATTTTGATATCTGTTATTTTGTATTTTATTCTTGTTAAAAATCAATAAACATTCAGTTAAAATAAAAATGTGATGTTTTAGTTTATTATTTTACTGTTACATTTAACTGTGTGAATTAAAACATACATTTAAGCGAATTAAATCAACCGTTTAAAATATAAACAAAAATATAGAATAAAATAAGTCTGTATTTGTCAATTAAAAAAAAATCGTTTTATTCATGAATTATTAAATTGATTCATTTTATTTTTAAAGTGGAAATTAAGTCCTCAGCAAACTAAAATAAGTATTTATTGGTCAATTCAATAAATTATTTATTTACAGTTTTATTCTTGAATTAATACATTGATTTTTTCATTTTTTATTTTTAAGTGGAAATTAAGTCCTCAGCAAACTAAAATAAGTCTATTTATTGGTCAATTCAATAAATTATTTATTTACAGTTTTATTCTTGAATTAATACATTGATTTTTTCATTTTTTATTTTTAAGTGGAAATTAAGTCCTCAGCAAACTAAAATAAGTCTATTTATTGGTCAATTCAATAAATTATTTATTTACAGTTTTATTCTTGAATTAATACATTGATTTTTTTCATTTTATTTTTAAGTGGAAGTCTTCAATAAACAGAGACCTGTGATGTAAAATGCCTTGTGATGTTTCAGCCTGACGGTTCGAAGGTCGCCAAATTGTCCTGCAGCACCGCTGTTTGGATGCATGAGACTCTGAAGACGGGAACAAGAATTTACAGAAAGCCAGTCAGAGCAAATTTCACAAATGTTTTTTTGGTCTATAAAGTGGTGTGTCATCCAAACAGACTGTACCTTATGCCCTGTGTCAGAGTCGTTGAGCAGAATGTTGGTTATATCAATGCCGTCATAGCGTTGATCTGATGGTGGTTTTACACCAGCCAGGGAGAGGATAGTTGGAAAGATGTCCAGACCACTAAGGAGTTAAAGCCAGTCGTCATTCAGTGAAAACAAAACAATCATGCTACACAATGTTCATAATGTTCCAGTACCTCAGCAGGGCGCTGCTGGTGCTGTTGGGTTTGATCTTCTTAGGCCATGCGACCACTGTGGGAACTCTATGACCTCCTTCCCATGTGGTTTTCTTGGCTGAGCCACCACCTGCTCCAAAGAATGAAAACAGAGTATTACATGATAATTCAATTAGTGGGTTTGTTATCTAAAACAACTGAGGAGAAGTCATAAGTAAGCATGAAATCCGCACCACAGGAAAAAAAAAAACTTGGATCTTCATTCATGAAACATCTTTAGGTTAAAGATATAACACCTTATAATATTTTCAATAAAGGAGACTATAAACGTAAACATTTTATATGACAGTTTCTTCATTACCTCTGCTTGCCTGCCACTTTCCAACAAAAGGCCCAACATGCCCAGCAAATTGGCATTTCTGCTCCCACGGGCCATTGTCACCTTAGAAATTGATGTTTCATTGTATTGATAGTAAGCAAAGTTTTAACTAAAACAGCTTAAAGTGTAATACGTGTAAAATAACTCACCAGTGAACCATATTAATGTGTTTTCCAGCTGCTCAGTGCTGACCACCTGCATGATTGTCCCCACCAAAGAGTCCATGTCACTGAGGCTGGCTGTGTAAGGGTCTTGTGTCGTAACATTTAGGAAGGAGTTATGGAACAGTGGGACATGCATGTGAGCAAGAGCCACATACAGTAGGAATGGCTGCTTCTTAGAAATGCTAGACAGACACATTAACACAAAACATACAATATTACCCAAACTGTACAAAAATAGAAGGATACGTTTGTTACAGAGAGGCACAATGTAGCGGTACAATTGTGAAATATTACAGTTTAAAATAATTGTTTTCTATTTTATTATATTTTAAAATGTAATTTATTCCTGTGATGGCAAATCTGAAATATAAGCAGCCATTACTCCAGTCTTCAGTCACCTGGGGTCTCATTTATAAAACTCTCGGTAGATTTCATCCTAAAAGTGTACGTACGCACAAAAGCTAGATTTTGCGTACGCACAAAAGTTTTCAGATTTATAAAACCTGCCAGAACCTGCGCAAAAATCCCTTTATAATTCCCAGTCAGGGTAAGATTGTGCCTACGTGCATCTTCACCCCGACTCCTCCCCAAAATCACTACATATGGAGCTTACAACGCCTTGTTTTACTATGCATAACCTCATCTGCATATCATTTCCATGCACATTCCATCCACGTGACACCATGTTTAACACCGTCAAAGGTACAAGACATTAAAGGGGTCATATGATGCTGCTAAAAATAACAGTATTTTGTGTATTTGGTGTAATGAAATGTGTTTATGCGGTTTAAGGTTCAAAAAACACATTATTTTCCACATACTGTACATTATTGTTTCTCCTCTATGCCCCGCCTTTCTGAAACGCGTCGATTTTTACAAAGCTCATTGGTCTGA